TTTGAATCATCTTCAGTAGTCATAGCACAAAAGAAAGCCTCTGAAGTTTTCTAACTTTTAAGTTGCTGTTGAATTCCCTATTATTGGACTATTGGATGAATTACCATGAAACTTTGTACAGACATTCATAGTTCTTAAATTATGCATACTAATGACTTTTCCCCTGGTGCCACCATCAGGTTGATATGGTTTTTGACAAAATGTCTCCACAACTTTTAGATGGAATGGCATGAAATTTGGTACAGACATCAATGCCCCCCTCAGGATAAATTGTAATAACTTTGGCAATACTCTGACTCCTCATTTAACACTACCATGAGGTCAAAATTTCAGTCTGTGCAATACTTTGGTTTATGATATCAGCAAAACTAATAACATTCCCATCAGCCTCAGCTGTACTTACTGTTTAGTGTTGGCAAATGTTTGCACACTAAAGACTAAGATAGTGAACAATAAATATTACCTGCTAAAGATCAGCATGTTAGCATTTTGCTTAAAGCATATGTTGCTCCTAAGCAGATCCAGCCTCATAAAGCCTCTGGCAAGGCTGTAGACTCTTGTTCCATGTAACATATTTCATTGCATATAGTTTTTCTCCCCTAAACCAGTCAGATCAGAGTTCCCTTTCAACATATAAAGCTTTTCTGATGAGCCATTAACAACAGAAAATAAAAATGTTTGCCAGAGGGACTGATGATCAGCAAGGCTAACACTAAACTGTTAGTGTTTCAATACATGTTCCACTGTAATGTATGTCGCTCTTTTTGTCAAACCCTGATGATGTAACTGCACCAGTACAGCTGATCAGTACATAGGAGAATGACCACAAGTAGTTTGTGTTTTGAATGATTTCATTTACTGAGAAAATTAAGCAACAATGGAAACACCCATTCTGAGGAAAAGCTGCAGTGCAGGCAGAGGTCAAGCTCACCTTGGTTATACAAATCACTATAAGTGTTTTATATGTATATATATATACATATATAGTGTGTTATATGTAAAAGAGTACTGCTAAAGCACACAGCATATCCCTGGTCACATTTTGTGGGGTGAGCAGTGATCCACTCCCTTCACATTACAGGTTTGGGCAACCACAAACTAAAGCAAACAGCATTAAAATCACATTTACAAGTGCTGCTCAGCTGTGAAGGACCAGCTTTTCACCTCGTGCCCCCGCTTTTTGGGGTAGTTGTTTGTATTATTCATTGGACTCTTTTCAGGAATATGTGTGAGGTTTTATGCCTTTCTGGACCAGAGTTTCAAGTCTGGCACAAGCACTGAACTCTTGAACTTGTGTGCTGAGTAAAGCTGCCAAGATAAAGATGTCTAAATTCCAATGGGATTTTACTGAGGTTGCAACTAATGCTTTGCATGCAGTGATTGATTGTTTTGAATTTTATTTTACAGCACAGATTTCTTTTGGGTGAAAAAGTAACTTAAACTTATATTGCCAACTCAGGTTCATAGAGGAAGACACACACACACACACAAACACACACACAGTCCCACATCAGTCGCATTGTGTTATTAAGTTAAGTTGAAGGAGGTCTCAAGGTCTACCCCTCATAGCAAAAAATACAGGTTTTGTCAAGCAATATTATACTCTGTGTGTGTTTATACCACGTGGCTGTGTGTTCATCATTGTGTGTGTATATCTAATTTAAACCAGCTGTTTTCTTTTTCCACCAATAGTTCTTATTGAGAGTATTTCAGAAATCACTTTGTTACGACATCATATATCATCTCTCTCGTGTGTTTTTGTAAATGCATGCTCATAAACTATAAACAATACAAAACTAAACAAAAAATAAACAGTACAGAGATTTTTGGAACAGACTGGAATAAAGACCAGCTGTGTTTATCAATTGCTGTTGAACTGACAGGTGTAGAGTTAGTAGAACTCCCCTTCACTCTTATCATCACATACTTGACCTATATTTAACACTAGAGCCAAAACCTAATCCTGATTTGAATCTTTACCTTTGGCCCCAGTCCATCTCTTAAACATAGTCTGATTAACACACTATTGGACCCTACTGATCCCCCAAACCACTAGACTAAAATAGGCCCAGAAATTCAGAGTCGACCTCACTCAGAATGGCATGGAATTCAAATTGTGACCTGACCTGTATCTGTAGCACCACTCAGTAAACCCAAACCCAAACCCACTGGGTGAGACTACTATGGAGCAAAGCAGCAGTGATTAACACTCTTTTATATGGTTTAGGCATGCACTGTAATAATATTACTCAAAACTCCAAGTATCCTGTATCATTGTAAAAATATTGCATACACATAGGCACACAGATTGTTAATGGCATAGCTAAAATGTGCTAATATGCGTCTTTGGATGTTTTTCCTCATCTTTCTAGCGTTAATACGTTTTGCTTTCACTGTAGAAATACAAGCCCCTACCACACATAGAGACTTCACTCTTATTCATGTGTCTTTGTACCTGTAGCATGTGCTTGGCCGACTGCTCACCAAGCTGAGCGGGCTGTCAGGGAGCAAAACAAGCAAAACACAGCCAAAGCTGAGTGAGTGAAAGGAGGAAGGTCTGGGTGATGGATAGCTACATAGAGGAGAGGGAGGGCTGTGAAAGTAGGTTAAAGACAGATCGTGGGAAATTTGGGAGAATAACAACAGAGAGAGATAGACTAAGACATGATTCACCAAAAATATACTGTTGTCAAGGGGGAAAATAACGGAAAATAACTGTAACTTTGGTTAGGGCCTACCCCCCAGAAACCTATCAGAATAAGTCTGGTATGTGGATGGACTTGGATTCAGTGTTTCCAGGTTGCTCACACTCTACTGAAGCACTCTTCAGGAATTCACAAAGGCAGCGAGTTGGTGAATTGCAGCTTTTAACAAATAGTCTTTATGAGGCTGTGTGCTTGCCGTATAATTAGCTGCTTTTACCATCACAGCCACCCTTCCAAATAGGTTTCAACCAATCAAAGTGCTGAGAACAAGTGGGCTCAAGGCCAAGACCACTAAAAAGGAGACAGTGACTTTGTTCCACAAGTCTGCTTATCAAATGGAATTCCCCCCTCAGATGGCCTTACACTATATCATCAAGTGATAGTTTCGGGGTGTCTGGTGTTTTTTCCTGATGATTTTCTCAGTCTACCTCCAAACTGCAATTCCTGATTTACTACATTCCCCAGATTGCCTCTGAGATACTCAGAGGAAGTTGTGGCCTTCATCTTTAGGATCTTTGGTTTAGGCCATGGATATGATAATAAAACTAGTGACCATGCTCCAAAATGGCATCCTATTCATTCCACTGAAAGTCACTTTAGCCTAAAAACAGCTCAAATGTTATTGGACCTATTGGATTAAATATTGATCATAAAAAGAGCTATTTCAACGTGATTGTGATGCTTAGAAAAATGTATTCTTTTCTGTCTTCTTCTGTATTTCTTTTTCTTTTGTAATGATTGAATATGTAAAAAAGGCTTTTTGGACCAGTGTGAGTCATGTGATCTTGGAATATCCCTGTGGCCATGATGCCAAAATGTCCTCACAGCCAAGACCTTCGGAGCTTTATTCAGGCTGAGAAAAATGTACAAAATGAAAACTACTTTCAGGTTGTGGGTAAAGCAAGAGGACAGGGACAGCCTCATCTGTGTCACTTGGTCCATTTTAATGTCTGCTTTGGACAACTGAGTACTGACAACAAGATACAGATACATCACCTCACAACCTTACATCATATCACTCTCTCTCTCTATACATACATGTATGTAGTTACCACAAATTACATTATGCCAATTGTAATTGTAAGAGAAAGATAATTATTTGATGCTACAATGTTTTGTGGTCTATTGAGGCTAGTGCTAGTGGAGAAACTGCATGTTCCTTTTGTTTTAAGACCTCCATGTGCTGTGTGTTTAATCTCTCTCTAATGCACGCTATGTTACCTCACCCAATGGATGTTTCCCACTTTTTCTTCTCTTCCCAACCTAAACATGTTAAATGCTGATGAACAATATATCCCATATTTTGCCTCTAGATCCCCCTCAGTCTCGCACACAGGAGAATTAAATAATTTTCTCTGCGTACATGCACGCGCCCTCTGGCAGACTGAGCCTCTGGGTACCCAGGACGCCCAGATGTCAGATCCGGAAATGTCTGCTGAACTCACTGCAAGTACATCTGGAAAAGAACTGTTCTTTTTTTAGAGTGGATTGTTCCTCGAAGGAGGATGTTAAGTACAGTGAGTGATAACTTTAATTAAAAAAAAGAAATTTTGTATGAAAGGAACAAAGACTGATCTGTATCTTTTTTTAACTGTATCTCTACAAGTTTTTTTTCTACTAGGGATCTTCTTTTCATCTTCTTAGCCAAATTATCTTGACAACGGAAGATTTTCTTTACACACCGAATAAGAATCAGACGAGTGTGGAGATGACAGGTCTGACAGCAATGCAAAAGAAGCTTCTACGGCGTGATTTAATAACCACAGTGTGAGTTTATGAGAGGTAATATAATGTTGTTATTTTTTGGCATGCAGAGATGGAAGGCACTGGACAAATTGAAGAAAAAGTAGTTGTTACTGTCCAGAATCTGAGTCATGGACACAGTAAAGTAAAACGTGGACTGAAGAGAGAGAGAGAGAGAGAGAGAGAGAGAGAGAGAGAGAGAGAGAGAGAGAAGGAGTTGGGAGGTAAAGGGGAAGTTGACCTGAATTTCTGTATTTCTGTTTGGGTGGTGAGAGTTCCCTCATGCCGCCTTTAGCTCTCTGTTATAAAACGTATGGATGGAGGTACAGCAGTCTTGACTCCCTTAAGTAAGAGTGATGGATGTGGGGTTATGGAGGGAGGGATGGAGGGGGAGGAGAGGGGAGTACAGGAGGAAAAAAGCAAGAAGAAAAGGGGGGGAGGGGGCATAATGAGGGAGAAAGACTGACTCTTGATGTTCTTTGATGAGAGAGGGAGTAAAGGTGTGTGTGTGTGTGTGTGTGTGGAAAGAGAGAGAGGGGGAGGGAGAGAGAGGGAGGGAAAGAGCGTGCATGGAGAGAGAGAGAGAGAGAGAGAGAGAGAGAGAGAGAGAGAGAGGGGTTGCTCCTGCAGTTCCTCCTCTTAGTCTTACACCAGCAGTCTGTGTTTTTCCTCCTGCGCTGTGGTGAAGCTCCATCAGGTAAGAAAAGCGACCAGGCACGATGTGACAACGACTTTATGACAACCCGTCTCTGCACGGCGACTCTGCATAATAAACCTCGGGAGGTTTAAAGCATAAAAAAAGGAGTAGAAGAAGAAAAGAAAAAAAGACCCGGCGGCGCGGTTGCGTGCATGCAGAGACGTGCAAGACTGAAGAAGTTATTCACAAGTCGCCAACTCAGCACCAGTTTTTGGAAAAGTTACCCCTGACATCACCGTGCGCGTTCTTACGCACCGGCTCACTGACACGTTTCAAGTGCATGGCGTTTGTGTGTGTGTGTGTGTGTGTGTGTGTGTTAAATTCTGCGTTATGACTTGTGTGTGTGTGTGGTTTATCCGGAGTGCAGTTGCATGCCAAACTGATGCTCTGGCGTTGTAGACGTGGCTTCTTAAATTGATTCATTATGACTGTTGCATGTGTGTTGCGGTTGGGTTGGTATCAGGCAGTGTGTGTTCAGTTTATTAGCGGCGTGTTCATTCATGATCATATGGGGTGAAATTGTGCACACAACTCTGATGGTGTCCTGCTGGTTTTTGGGAATGGGGAGGGGTGAGGGTTGATGAGGTAACCTGAGGTTATAGTACATTTGGCATCATTTTAGCTCCTGTCACACAGAGGTGTCAGGAAATAGGCTGTTTGGTTGAAGGTTCCCAAATGCTTACACAAACTTTATGGAATCTGTTTTCAGGAAATACACTGTATTCTAAACACAAGTCAGTTAGTTGGAAGCTTTTCTAGCCTAACCCACAATGGACCTACATTTAGTCAGTAGGCCTACAGTAGACAAAAGGTGTTCATGGCGAGCGATGGACAGAAAATTCCAAAATGCTGACCTGCCTGTGGGAAAGTGATTTTTTCAATGGCAGTCCAGGAAACTGATGTAAGAAGTATTTAAAGTGACAAAAACATGACTTACACTGATGGAGTACGGGTGAATTCCATTTTATAAAGTGCATGTCTTGGTACCGGACTATAAGTCATTCAGTTTTACGAGCATTTTTTAACCTTTTTATTGTAAGTTATATCGAGCAATCTTTGCTATAAAGCTTCCTGCCAACAGGGTGGTTGGTTTTGACGCACATTGTCACTTGCTGTGAGTTTCCTTTAAAGGAAGTGTGTAGGATTTAGTGCCATCTAGTGGCGTAGATTCCGATTGCAACTCACTTGCTTCACCGTGCCTTTCCAAGTCCAGTTTTTGTCCATTCTGAGCTTCAACATGACAGACTCCACGGAAGACAACCTTATTTTCAGGCGATTATACACTAATGGAAACATACCTATGAATATTATATTCAATTTCTGCCACCTGAAAATAAGAATTGTTGTGCGTTCCCTTAGAAAGAGCTATTTTTATCTACAGAGGGAGCATGTCCTCTTTCACGGAGGCCACAGACCAAGAAGCCACTTTGTTGTTGCTGCCATTCATCAAGTAGCCTAGATGAAAAAAAATCTGAATTAAAAGGAAGAATCTGAACTAACTTTTCAAACATGTTGTGTAAGTGAGTATAAATGTATCCCCTGATGTCTGGCTGGCTATGATAGTAAAGCAGATTCAGATAATGTCCTTTAGGATTATATTTTACTATCAGTTGGATAAAAATATCGCGGCAGAGCTCCAGTCATTTCATTTCTCACAGTCATGCTCCATCCATCATCTCAAATCCAGTTAACATTCATCTGTCACTGTAAAAACCCCTGGGAATCTCTCTGTTATCCGTCTCATCTTTCTCTCTCCTGTTGATGTTTTTCTTAGTCTTCTCTCTCATCTGCCATTTGTTTTTCTTCTCTCTTCCCCGTTTTGCCTTTCCGAGGATTTCTGTTACTCATGTGTGGATTTCAGAAGCTAAATGAGGATGGATGGCAAGAAGACAGATAAAAAAGAAATACATATACTGTAGACTGAAAAAGACAAAGGAAGGTGCGATGGAAGGAAACTTAGATGATGAAGAATCATTCATGCACAAAGAAGATTTCAGGACACCTTGATGAATTACACAGCAGGATTTATTTGGCTCGATCGAGGAGAATATGGTTCAGCAGTACAGTGTAACACAGTGCAGTGCCAACCCAATTCTGAAGGTTCTCATTTGTCAGGGGATATTAACCCAGATCCACAATGACTACAAGCATTCCAATTATGATCAAAATTTACACTGGTAAATATGTGTGAAGATCTAATTTGAGAATGGTTCAAAACAAGGTCTAAGCCTATCTAGCTCACCCTGAATCACCCAAGATGCCACCTAGAACCCTGCACTACTTTTACAAGGAAAAGAAAAGACAGCCAGTCTGCCCCTGAGTAATAACAAATCTCATTCTTCAGGGAAAACATGGTACAGCTTGGCCCTGTGTCACTGCAGCTATGCTGTGACATAAACAAGAATCCCAGGGACCCAGAACACTAACTGACTCTAGTCGCTATTGGACCTGGATGCCTCCATTGTGATGCTGTGACCTCTTAGACCATAGACCTGTATGCTTGTGTGAGACCCTCCATCTTAAAAGATACATAAGGACAAAAAAATCATTCACAGAAGGGAATAATAAGAATGGAGAACACAGAATAGACAGCTAGGATTTCTCCTGCAGTTGTTTTATCTCATGGTTTTGATTGTATGGTCCTCAAATTCCACTTTCATCAGCGTTGTTTCCCACAGCACCTGGCAGCTGTTTTCAGCAAATAAGCTCTGATAAACCCAGTACTTCACCAGCTCCAAAGAGCAGACACAGAGAGTTAGAGACTAGCTGTTTAACATATGGAGCATACCATCTGAATACTTAGATATTTCCCTCAGTAGCTGGTGAAACTCAAAACTGAGATAAAAGGAAATAAAAACTGGATTTATATTTTTCAGGTGACCAGAAATCCAACATCAAAAGAATGCTAACGTTACTATGAACTAAATGTGAAATTAGGAAACTCTTTGTATAATCTCTATGACATGTCATGTTTTTTGAGTTCCTCTGCCCCTGTGTGGTAGGGCTATCGTAATAACTGTAATATGGAAATACTGCACTATTGAGAAGCCAACCACAGGGGAAGGAAAAACACCGCCACAACAATGCAACTTCATTGATTTGATGTGGTTATTTTCTTGTTGTTCTGGCCACCTGGAAACTTTAAGTCCAATATTCACTATTCTTTTAGTATATTTTAATAAATAATACAGATTTTAACACCAAAACAAAGTCTATAAATAAATAGTATTGTAAAAATGATTAAAAAATACTAAAACATATTTAATACTTCATGAGCCTGTTGAGTTTTATGCCACATCATGGTCTTGTGTAGAGTAAAACAGAGTAAAACTTCCAGGGTTGGTGGCTCCAGCCCCCCCAGGAAACATGTGCACTCAGTTTACCAGTGCCATATGTTTTGTGTTATGTAATTTTACATAGTCACACAGAACTACTATACATGTCTTTGTAACCTTAGATTTTCATTTAACAAAGTCTTGTTATTGCTAAATACGACTGGAGGCTTTCAAGGTTGTCAAATAAGGAAATTCATTTTCTTTCAAGTTGTGTATCAGAGACAACTATATAAAGGAATGTGTGAGTTGATCTCACAAAAGAACAGAAGATATATGCCAAGGGTGTCCTTGGAAAGGTGTTTAAAAGCATTTCTTGCTTTGAGTGCATGCAGACAGACTGAAATCTCTGCTGATGTTTTCACATCCTATCGAGTCCAGGTGTGTATGTGTGTATGTATGGAAGGCCATGCAACTCCCTCCTTTGTTTTCAAATCTAAAATAGCTTTTCTCCTGGGATTTCCAAATCCAGATCCTCTGGATCCCATATGAGAACTTCAGGGTCACAAGACAATCTGTCATCTGTGGCTTTGACCTTCATACCAAAGTTTTGTTTTATGTCCTTGAAAGCTTAAGGAAGGTTAAAGGGAAAATAGCCCCTCATATATTGTAGCATGTCATGAGTCACTTATGTTCAGTGTATGCCAAAACTTACTTAACGCTTTTTAGCAATTTACTTTTTGGTACAGTTTCCACTTACACAGTCTTTTCTACATTTCACAGAAGCCTTTCAACAGCTGCCAGAGATTAGGTGTGGAGGACTTATGTTTAGCAAAGATTGAAATGTTGATAGTGAGCTAACTGGGTTGTGAACATTGGGACATATCCATGACTTTGGCTGCACCCCATATTCAAACCACAACGTGTCTTGGCCGCATTGCATTCTAGTCTATTGAGACAACTGACACTGGAAGGTCTCGTCCAAAAAAACAGTTTTGCATCTTGATTCTAACGGGACTGCCAGCATTTTCAACACTAGAAATAACCCTCAAACTCTTCAGTTACTATCATCAGTATATCTTGACACTTGGCCAGTTCTTCACTGGAATGTAGAAAATACACAAATCAACAAAACTGACCCAAAAATTTTGGTTTTGGGTGGATCTTTTTTATAGCTTGTTGGACCTTTCAGAAATTCCTCCGTCGAAGAAAGTAAGCAAGAGCCTCACTGTAAAAATAATGTATCATGACAGAATTTAGTTTCATAAGTCTTCCTTTGCCATGACTTCATATGGATATACACTTCAACATCAAGCTCTGCCTAGCTATAACTTTTCCACTCTCTTTCCTCTTTGTTTCATTCCACTCCCAGGTTGTGACAGTCATGTTGGCGGTGTGTTTGAGGCTGCTTTTGCTCCTTCCCCTGGTTTGCTGTGTCCCCTCCCCCTCCAGGCCTCCTTCCAGACTCTGCAGGCGGTGCTGCGACCACCACTCAGAGCCGCCAGCAGCCACGGCCCAATATCAGATGCCTGAGGTCCGCACTATCATCAACATGACCATCCTCAAAGGTACCGGAACGGGATTCGTTTTTGATTATTTGCTTGACTTGAAGTTAGCTGGTACTTACTGTCGATTTGGCAGTTGCTCAGTTTTCCAGTTTTTGTTCTGATTCTTGCAGGATGTAACAGGATGTACGGTATTTTGTGGTTGTGTGTTCAGTTACTGAACACACAGTGTGTTACTATCTCTTCTTCAAGCTACATCCTTAATTGGATCACAGCTTCTGATTTTCCAGATGGCAGTGTGTCTGGCAAGGCTACTATTTAATCAGAAGAGTAATCACGTATATTGTCGTGGAACAGTGCTGCTGAAGTGTAACCATGAAATGATGGAATTGAGACAAAAATGAAACTGTCTTTGAAAAGGAAATTAGACACTCCTCTGGTTTGAACAACCTGGAATCACTTAAAAAATCAACGACTCTTCAACATTTTTTGAAAAACCCAGACCAATAACAGCTACTTTAATGGCATTTGACAGTCAATGCATATCAACATATATATTCATGTAAGCCATGAAATTAACAGAAGAGCTGGTAGGAATGAAAGCGTGCCTTTTTTAGTCTAAAATCTATTTTACAAAGCAAATAAAAAAAAACAATTTGACAACTCCAAAATGGCTTTAATAGAACAGAACCCGACAAGACTAAAACACATTTTTCCCCGGCCTGACTTGAGCCCTAGGACCAGGTCTTTAGAAACTAGGACCTGTGTGGACCCATGAAGACCTCTACTTGTTAATACACATGATTGACTTACAGTCCTGTCACAGTCAAATCTGTTACTGTTTGTATGAGATGATAATTGTGTGTTTGTGCATTTGTGTGGCCTTATTTGTCTTTGCAAATGTATGTTTAGGCCCTGAGAAAACAGAAAAAGATCAAACAAAAATCTGACACAAGAAACTAGATTAAAAATACAAGGATTTTCGAATATTCATGAAACACACAATCACAGCTGGAGAGGGATTTGTGAGAACATGTGTGTCTAATATCAGAGCCTTTGCGGCCAACTCGACCAGAGCAGTCCAAACGATCACATCACCCTGCTGTTTTATCTGCTGGTCCTTTGATAACTGGACATGCCAAGTCTGTTCTGACCCGCGATCAACCCCCAAACCAATCCAACTGTTGAACCACAAAAAGAAAAATCTTCCTCTTTCTTGTTTTGCACATACATGTTGAAACATTGCATGGATGCACACAGTTTTAGACAATTACGGCCCTTTTATACTGCAGAAGAACCCATAACTTTTCCATTGAAGAAATCCAAGTTAGAATTTGATGTCTTGGACCAAGTGTATTGCCAAAGTATTGCTTAAATTGCAATACAAACTAACTATACAGTATCAAAACTGGCTGCTTAACACAATGTGGACATGTACAGTATGTAGTTATGATCGACGATGCTCGGTTGAAATGTTGTTTGGCATTTAGGTCAAAGTTTTCATTGGTAGGAAGCCAGTTAGGCATCGTGTTTTTGTTGCAAGAAAACTGGAAAAAATGGCCGTGGAATTCTTGTGGTCCTATTTTTTTCGTTCAAGGACTTAGACAATTTGAATGGAAATTGAAAATTTGATTTTAAATGGGATATATTGGACCAGGTGAGAAGTTGCATTTATGTCTCATATTATTGCTCTTGTGTACAAAATGTGTGTGTGTGTGTGTGTGTGTGTGTGTGTGTGTGTTTGGAGGAGGGGGGGTGGGGTTAATAAGATTATAAAAGGTACCAGAGCTGCCCTTTCAGTGGCAGAGGTACAGAGGTCATAGCAGCAAGACTCACTTTTCAAGAGGTCCTTGATCAGATCTTCCACGATGAAGAAGCTGTGAGTGATTTGGAGGTGGATGTGTCAGAGCAAGGAGATAACATAGAGGGGAACTCTGATAACAGCCAATCTGATGAAGATGCCTCTGAGGGAGAGGAGCAGGCAGCAAAGGGATGTTTATGTCAAAAAAACAATGCCATCTGTTGGTCAAGTTTCAGGCAGGATGGCAGCGGAAAATGTCATTCAAATGACTCCAGGACCCACAAGATTGGCCACCTCTTATGCATCACTATTAATAAAATATATTTAAATCATTATGGCTGTTATGTTTTCATGTCTTCGGTAAAACAGGACATGATATAGTGTGATATAGCTGTTTTATCTCCAAAAACGAGGATCTAGAACCTAAAAAATACACTCTCATGCCATCTAGAATCATAAATTAAGGATTAATAATGAATTTATCAATGTAAGATAGGCTATTTACATATTCTAAATAGATCTGTAGTTCAAAATATGGTATAGACACTTTTTATGAGGACTTTCTTGGACCGGGTCAAATTTGGGTTAAGGGTTAACGAAGTTAGTATTCCCCAAAGCTGTCATAATCTGGATTGACACATTTTTAGAATGTATAGACATATTTTCTCTTCATTTACTTTTTGTAAAGAAACAGATCGTCACCTTTTGTCTTCCTTGGTTCTTACCTATGGATGTCCCACATTTGGATATTTTGAGTAAGGGGAGCAGTTACGCGGTGGGGAAGTGCAGAAAATCTCCAGCTAATTTGGAAGCAGACGAGGCAGGTCGGGGATGAGCAAGAGCAGTAACAATTTAAAATATATTTTCCTTTCAGTTGTACTTCAGGACATGATCAAACATCCCAAATTAATATCTAAAAGTGTGCATTAGTATCTACACTGTAAACATGTATATTAAATACATTATTAAAGCCCACCTCCACTCAAAAATATGTTTTTCTTGTTCCTACAGTTGGATGTTTGAGATTCACTGTGCAGAATCAGCACACATACACTGAGAATGGACTTTACAGTGGCGTAGGAGACAACAAACATTATTGTTCCAAGCAGTCTATATGAATATATTGTAATACATGTCTAGAGGGTATCTTTAAAGAGAAAGGGTGGTCAGAATGGGCATGGGGTTGTTATTTGATTTCAGGATAAAGGATGAGCCCCATATATGGCCATCTGGTTTAGAGGTGCTGCTAATTTGCTGTTTGCTGTAACTCTCTTCAGGGCTCTTTGTGTGGACCCTAGTCACAGCTGGACAGACCAGGGGCAGACCAGTGAACATCTGTCTAGAGGATCATTGGTGTTTACCATAGGTCTCCAGGAAGTGTTGGGTCAAGGTTAGCAAGGGCATTGCTGTGGCTTCTTCCTGTGTGATTTACCCAACCTAAAGGTGTTTAACTCATGACAGCATCAGGAAATGCACAAAGAAATCTAGGTAAAACAAAATCCTAAAGACAGCATAGCAAGATTTATTCGTAGACCTAAATAAATTCATATTTATAGATATTTTGTAGCTTGACAGCCATGGAGTTTTAAAAAAAGTTTCCTTAGCCCAACCAGTATACTTCAACTGAATGTGAAAATCACTGAAACTGTCACTATCAGTCCTCCAACTATCATAGGATGTTTGTTTCTCAGTTATTATTCTTAGTTCATCATTCAGGAACTGTTTGCGTAGCTAACCTTTTCTTATTACAGCTGCTTCATAGTGATATGGCAATAAAGTCCTTTAAGCAGTGTTACTTGATTTTATAGCAAAGAGGTTTTTGTGTACTTGGAACAATAGCAACACTCAAAATGTTCACTTAACCAGCAACATTTCAAACAGGAGTGGTGACAGCAGGACGTACATAAGCTCATTAATCATTTTCAGACCTTGCTGTCAAGTCGCATATCATTTTAAAATCCAGACAAACAGTGTTGGGTTGATACACATGTAACATGATACAAGATGGAAGCAGGAGCTTCCTTCCAATAGAGCTAAGGGGCCAACACATCCAACTAACTATTTTAACATACATGTGAAGCAAAGTATATGAATTAAATGTTTGTATGTAGAGACGGGTAACAGTAAACCCTTGAATAAACAAGTGGACCTAAGGAATTCAGATGGTTGATGGTTTGAAAATGATGTGGGTCATACAGTATGCTATGGCCTTCACAGTCAACAGATATTAGCCCAATTGAACACCTATGGGAGATTTTGGATCGGCATGTTAGACCATGCTCCTCACCACCACCATCACAATCCTGTCTCCTAAAAATTATGTTTGTATATTACTAAATCATTTTTAGAATTATGTTGGGGTTACACTGAAATACCAGGATTATGTTTACAGACAACGTTTTTTAAAACACTACATTTATGTAGCACAGTGGAGTCGCAAGGAGATGGTTCGTGTGGGTGGAGGGCGTACAAAGGACAAGACTGGCACACCACAGTCCAGCTTCACGTCCAGAATCCTGCAACAAAAGCACTGGTAAAGGTTAGGAAATATCTGGTTGTATATTGGGTTAAATGTTAATAAAAAATTGTACTTCTCAAGTCATAGTGGATACTATTGCAAGAGTGCCTATTTTGGTGGAAAACAAATTAAATACATTGTCAGATGCCATACATTGCCTCTGATCACTCAATCCCTAAACACCAATATCTCTGGTCATTATATATCTCAGAAACGTCAACTTTACATGAGCTAAGACAAACAGCCTCATAAATTGTATCTTTAGGTCATTTCTGTCTGTTGACCGTGAAGTTTATATACTGTTTTGTTAACACCTTGTCATTTAAACCAAACTTTAGTTGTCTCATATAAGGAGATAGGATTTGTTAAGGAAAAACCTCTCAATAACATTTCAACTCATATTCTCTTTTTCCCAGCCTGCTGCTGGGAAGATTTCCTGACTTTCCAAACTTACTTTTAACCCCTGTCTTTCTTTTTTGATGCCCTTTGCCATTACATGATCTTTTCTGTTATAGTCGTTTCCACAGTAGAGGTCAATCAAGGTCATAGATTACATAAAAAAATGTGTTTTGACTCATCATTTAAAACTCCTGGCACCTGATCATAGTTCCTATTTTTCAGGAAGACCCCCCCTTACACATATCTGTTAAAACATTTTGTCTCATAGTCCACGAGGAGTACAAAATAAAGAGCAGCATTGGTTTAAAGAAAATGCTTAAGATTTATAAGTAGGATTTGGAATGTCAGATGTGAAAACCTTGCTGCAATTTATTTCCATTTCTGGATTTGTAACCATTATGAAAGACAGAAAAAGCTTAATGGCATAGTGTGCATGTCAAAATGAGCGGCCTGTTTTTCAACAAGAGTTTGATCAAGTCTTGGGCCTGTGTTTTCCTCAGTAAGAGCTGCAATTTGGTAAATGGCAAGTTTACTTACATAAATCAGGAATATTCTTAAAAAGTTGTCTAATACAGCCAGATACAATCATGTAGTCTGGGCCGGTCTTGACTCTTAGTGAGTTGAATGAGGACTAACTGACAAAAATCTATATCATCTATCTAAATCGATATCAGTTTTATCTCAGCAACATCTAATTGTTCCTCTTTGAAAAAAAAACAAAAACAAAACATTTATTAAGAGCTACATTATAAAGCAGCCACAACAAACTTTCATTTTTTGTAGATTCTGGCCACCCCGTGGTAAATGAAGCAGGAGTGTTTCCACTGCCTTGTTTAATGGATTTCAAGGGGACTGCAACTGCAGCAATCTGACCCGCTGGCATTGTGCAAGTAGCTTTTTATTGTAGCTGCTTGAGATGGAGCTAGTTTTATATACATCCTGAGGGTCATAAGACAAATCTGGAGAGGTGTGAGATGATTAATGGGGCAGGAAAGAAGACAAACATTAATTATATAGTATTAATTTTTTCCCCTAAACTTTGTTATAATCTGTGAAGTACTGGATAATTTTATCTCTTGAGCAGCTATTTAAATGAAACCTTTAGAGTTAGGTCTAGAGGGGAAATATCTCTTTGATAGAACTGCAGGCATGACAAGGGGCCCCAAGCAGACACTGCTTTTTTTGTCTAAGGTCAGAAGCCAAAAAGTTTATGAACCACTGATATGATCTTCAACAATGTGTTGTATATTTTATAATCTTGTTTTTTAATGTGAAACGTTAATCTGAAACCTAACATGTAACTGTAATAGTAAAGTACGTGAAATACAATATTTCTCTCTGCTGTAGAACTAGAAGTAGCATTAAGTGGAAAGTAACTCAAAATTGTTCTTGAGTCCTTGAGTGTAGTTATTTTCCACCACTTAAGTTAAATACAAAAGAAAGAAGTCTAGATTATCTTTCTGATGTTTCTGCCTGCACCACTCACCTGTGTTTCTTCTTGTCCACCCAGGTGATAAAGGAGACAAAGGCGACAAGGGTACACCTGGCAAACCTGGCGTAGAGGGGCCTGTCGGCTTCCGAGGACCCATGGGCCCTAAAGGCAGCAAAGGCCAGGCAGGTGCCCCTGGAGACGCCTGCAAGATCCCTCACTCTTCGTTCTCGGTGGGACGTCGCAAATCCCTGCACAGTGTGGACTACTACCAGGCGCTGGTGTTCGACACGGTGTTCGTCAACATCCACGAGCACTTCAACATGTTCAAGGGCAAGTTCTACTGCTACGTGCCGGGGATCTACTTCTTCAACATTAACATCCACACCTGGAACTTTAAGGAGACCTACCTCCACCTGATGCACAATGACAAGGAGCAGGTGATCCTCTACGCTCAGCCCAGTGAGAGGTCTATCATGCAGAGCCAGAGTGTCATGCTGAATCTGGCTCTAAATGATGAGGTGTGGGTTCGACTCTACAAGAGGGAGAGGGAGAACGCCATTTACAGTGACGACGTGGATGTTTACATCACCTTTAATGGATACCTGGTGGCACCTAGCATCCAGTGAAAATGGTTGAGAGGGAATAATGAGAGGAGTGGCAGAATCTCTGGGTCGGATTATTTGGTCTTTGTGCCACGGATACTGCTTTATGCCAAGAAAGGTGAACTAGACCAAGGACATTACAAGTTTGGTGCTTATTAATTATTCCTTTCAGCCTGGAAGGGAACATACTGTGCTTTCTAAAATGAGGACTGCCCAAAATATATTAGAATCAAACGGAGCAATAAAAACAGAAAGGTAGCAGAGCACACAATTAGGAAAGAATGTTGAATTACTTCCTTTGCACTAGAAATACCCTTTTTGTACAAAGTAAATATTTTTTCCTACTTCTGTGCTGTGCTACTTTCACCTCTTGGATCACTACTTTCAGGGACACAAGTTGTATCACTCATCAGGAGTCGTAAATCTGTGCAATCAATCATGTATTCGTACCATGGTGCTTCTTAACAGGTATGTAAGTAGTAGTACCAGTTTCTGTCTTATTAAAATGTGTTTGGACAGACTGCTGTCATACCTTTAACAAATGTTGCCTTTGTGCCTTTAAGAAGAACACTTAGATTCAAAGGGTTAGTTCACAGAAATTGCAAAAATATTGAAAGCCAAAAGGCTCACATTTCATCTCAGATTCTCTGAGATTTAAAGTATTGTTTACGCCACCAGGCATTTATCGTTCTAATTGCCACCAGGCATTTAATAAGCACTACTAAGCATTTGTAAACGCTTCCTAGAAGAATGGAGGCTGTTATAGCAGCACATTAACTCCCATTGTCTGAGTTTGAGATGCTCGGTAATCACATATTTCTAAGATTCTCAGGTGTCACATACTTTTGACCACATGGTGTATAGATTGGTTATACGCAATGGTTAGAAACGTATCTTCTGTCAGCAGTATCTGTTGTCCAGTCGGCTATACAGAAGTAATGTTGGTGCAAGAGGTCAAAATAAGACATTTTAATTTATTGATATAAATTAGTATTTTAGAATGATCATTTAACATTTGTTCCTTGGACCACATTACTATTATGTTGCTGCTCTTTTTAACTGGCTCCTTGTCAGTTCATAGCTCATCGTGCTGCTGCCAGTGTTGATGACCACATTTTGGATCAGTTCTGATTATCGACTGGTCTTTTTGGAATGATTCTGTCTGTGCTAAAGTCCTCTTCATGTAGGTCTTTTCTTTCTATTTTGAAAATGAATTGAATTGACAAGTTGGGTGAACTATTTTTTGAACACATGAAGAACTCCAAAGCCTGGTAGTGCATGTTGCAAGTTTGACGTGAGGATGCTCCTACTGTATTTGTCCTTCATGAGTTCAGGTGTGAGAAAAAGCTGGTATTGACTGATTGTCTGCATGGCTTGCAGTTCAGGTTTTATTTTATAGTTAAGAAGTTCGATGGCAACATACATAGTCTAAAACAACAAATTAAACAATTAATCCTTCCTGTGTTACATACAGATATCACTGTCTACATTTTTCACTGGGACTATTTTCTACTAAGAAGATTCTTGAGTGGAACCTCTAAAACCCCAATTAAATAAAGCCAAAATCATTTGTATAGCTAGGGTTAAGGCGGGAAAAACTTTTTTTGTTATTTTTTGTGAACTGACCCTTTAAACACATATATCCCAACATATCAAAATGAAACATAAGGGTGCTTCATTACTAAATGCGGGAACGCATTATGGTTTTGACAATTAATATACAAATACTTAAAACTGCAGAGCAGTTTATGTAAATAGCTGTATTATAGCTGTCTTTATAGCCAAAATCTGTGCTACCACTCATGCTGTTGGGGCTGGACTGTGTATGTGTGTGTTTGTACTTGTAAACAGTATTTCTTCCTTCACTAACCAAGTCTCTCTTTGTTCTGTATCACTGAGCAACATTTGACACTTGATTATGAAAAATTAAACATTTTCAGAATTTCACATGAAATCAAGAGCCTGTATATTCAATTAAGATGCCAAAATGTACCTTGTTTTCACACACATATCCTCACATTACTGCAGTGAATTTTTCATCACCCTTCTACTTTTTTTTTTTTTTCTACAAATGACACCATTCATCTTAAGACTTGGCTCTCAATTAAGTCGTTCAATGAGGGAAATGTATATAAGATTTAACCCCCAATATTGGCCAACTCTCCAAAATAAACAAACTAGCAAACAAAAACCCATCTCAAACTCTTGGAGACAGCGGATGGCTCCGCAGCATGCCAGCTCCATCTGTTTGGCCATATCTCTCCCATTAGCTGTAATTCCGTCCTCAGGGAGGCTTTGCTAGAGGAAAAGCAGACTGCAGCGTTGTAAATACTTTAAGCCTTGAGTGGAGATCTGAAAAGCTCTATTGGGAAACAAAGCAGGACATCTGAACAGTTTCCTGGATCGTCAGGCCAGACCAGTGGAGGCTGTTCCAACATGCACAGGAGTCAAGTTGTGGGTTAAAGGAACACTGTAGATTTAGTTCACTTAAGGTGTGCAATTTGACCTAGTTTAGGTTTGTCTAACTTAGTTTTGCTATAAAAGGCAGAAGAGTTACACACTTCAAGTGTGAGGGAACATAAATTAACTATATTAAATTTTAGCAGGTAACAAAAAATAAACTTTGAAACCAAAATGGTAGAAAATAAAAACAAAAATGCATTAAGGCCAGATAAACATAATACATTATAGCTTAACATGACAAAAATGATAACACTTTTTGGAAAACAAGTGTGTTGCCCAAACCCTTTAAACACATTATTGGTGCTCACTTTGTTGCCCATTAAAAATAACAACATGCTGCACTTTAACTAAGTACATTCACAGTCAGTCCAGACCAGCCTAATTAACTCAACTTTCACAAGACTGTTGAAAACTAACCTGCCAGTTGAGGCAGTTTCACCTAATCCTATTCAACTATAAACAATCAAGTGCTGTAAATTCTCTTTCAATTATCCCTGCTGAGTGTTAAACAAGCTAACAAAGTGAATAGTAGAATATCAATACAGTCATGGTTTCTCACAAGCATTTAAATGAATGGTATTTATCCTATTTTGACCAGTATGAGTTGATTTCTACTGCTAGACCTTGGAGTAACATCCACCAGAAATCTGTCAAGTGGTGTCTACTTTTCTGTCCACTGACACCTTTGGCAAAGCCATTCCTATCTTTAACCCTTAGTTCTATAGCTAAATTATTTCCACTTTATGGCAAGGTATTTTATTACAATTCTGTAATAATTTGTATATTTTCCTGTCAGATGAATCCTTTACCAGTAACCATGAGGATCCCGAGGTGCCCAATTTCATACTCTCAGTGGCACTTTAGTAAGTACACTTGTACAGTTTAATTCAGTCCAGTACAACACTCCGGCCATAACATTCTGTCCCTGAAGCTCTTAATGTTCAGTTTTTTGTGACATTGTGTGTCAATGTGTAAATTCAATTATATATGTATTATTGATGTCATAGTTAAATGTGTTGTTGTACTGATTATATTGAGAAGAGTTTCTACGTTTTTGTCCTTCCCATTTACACACCAGAGGTGGCAGAAAATTAGAAACACCTTTGAATATAATTAAGTCCAGTACAACAACATCTGTAACTATGACCTCAATACTAAAATATCGAATTTAATTAACACATTTATGACTCTACCAGAGCCAAAACGCTTTGTAAAGATAGATGTTGTGGCACGACTGCTGTCTTGGACTACATTAGATTGTACAGGTGAACCTAATAAGCACTGGGGGCCTCTTATTTCCACATTCACCTGTGACCCGGTTTAGACAGGTTGTAAGCAAAGCTGGGGGCTGCACTTGAGTGTTGGTCTCACGAAACAAATCATATGTTTTTAATGCTTCGGTTTTATATAATTTGGATGAGCTCACATAGTTCGTTGGTAATTGGTAAATTGATAACATTCACTCAGATAAAAGCTGAGAAGAGATGGACCTCAATTTCTAAATCATTTTACAAATGTTTTGTAGGATAAGTGTCAAGATTAAGGAAGCACAAAAACCATATTAGCAAACAAACATGAAAAAGGTTGAAACATGGCTGACTCTTCTACTATTTCTCAATAACCTTGTCCATTCTGGACTAAACGGCTTTTATATGTTCCCCTAGTCCAAAATTCTGCTGACTTCTTTAAAGGTCAAGTGTGAAGAATTAGTGACATCCAGTGAGGAAGTGGCAGATCTCACTTCTGTCGTTTCACCTTCCCCTTCCAAGCACGAAGGAGAAACTATGGTGGCTGCAAAACCGACATTTTTAGATCCTCCTAAATGTTCCACACTGGACCTGGAAGTGCAATGCTGAGAGGATGAAAGCTTTATAACAAGAGCCACCTATAAAGCAAAGAAACTTGAAAACAGATCCGAAGATGCTGGAAGTAGTAAAAAAAAGGAGGATAACCTCTGATCTTTTCTCATGAACCAAAACTAGCAGACTAATAATATTCATATATAAATGTATGAATGTAAGCACTGTGAGGCCTTGTGCCTTCCAGTGTCTGTGTAGTTCTGCAGTTATGTAACTGATTAAGCAGAAGGGAAATTGGAGGGCGGAGCTGGTGTGATGGGGGGAATCTTATGATAAATGTTATGAGACTATGAAGACAGGTTAAAGACAGTTTTATTTAGGTTTGGGAGTTTGAAGGCTGAGCCCCGTGGCTAACAGCTGTTTTCAGGGCTGACTGAACTGAAGCCTGTTTTCTCGTAGATTAGAAACAGGAAGCAGGGCAGAGTGCCGAGGCAGCGCTCCCCTAATTACAACCACATGACCTCTGACCACACTCATCTGTCAGAGGGAGACAGAACTGAGGGTTAGATGGAGGAGGGATAAGGAAGAGGGAAACAGGCAGGAGCAAATGAGAAGCTGGGAGGTTTATGGAAAGGAAAAATAATGGAAGTGGAAGTTGAATAGACACAACTCAGTATCCGATAGTTTCTTGAAATCACAAAATTACAACTCTTTAAAACAGAAAATCCCAATATATGAATCTAAAGGATCTACAGTTCCTACATCTACAGGCCCACCGCTGCTGCATAAATAGAGCAGACAGGAAGGCATGCTGAGAGAGAGCCAACTAACCTTTCATACACCCTCCAAAGTAAGCAACATAATTTCTGAGGGTTGGAGAGTTATACCCCTTTTAGACAGTGTGTATACACCAGTGAGCTACACTGTGTGTATGTGTGTTACTTAATGGAGACACATTGAGGTCATTGGGAGTTTTATGTTGGCAGCAGTCTGCGGCTGTTTTCTTTTTTCTTCTTTCTTTTTCTTCACAATTGACAGTAAGCAATGTTTTCTTGGCGTGTTGGATAGAAATTATGTATTTAATCAAGATTTGTATAGAAAACCCAAGAAAATTATAAATAGCATGAAACACAAGATGCACAGAATTAAAACTGACACCCAGTAAGCAGTTCCAGTGAAACTGTCCATCCACCATTCTAAATTAATGAATTGAATAAAGACAAAATCTTGTTATCTCATAAATATATCCCACAAGCCTTCAGTGGCTCATCCTCTGAACACCACCAAGATGGCGACTGTAACACACAAGCCCCTAAAGTGCCATTCTGAACTCACTGATACTTTGTCCAAGCGATCTCATTTGCTATTCTCGTTACTTGAGGCTGTGGCCGACGGGAAGTAACACATGGCCTACCATTCGTCTTGATGTTGATTTGGGGAAAATGGCATATATGGATAACTTGCTAGTCTTGTTGTTAAACATACTGTCAAATTACCATTTGTCAACCTTATACTGTGTTACTGACTTTGAGTCTTGCTAGCATAACATTACCTCTCTGGCTCGTGAGACAAAGGGTTCTGTAAATAGAGGGAACAAAAAATTTCTCCCGTAGCCAAGGCGCCTATTTACTTGAGTACTGAACAACGTTTCCATTGCATTAGAACCTTATCAAGTCAAACCCTCAGGTGTTACCATGGAGACAAAGTTATGGCTTGTAAAAAAAACACATGAAAACTTAAATGAATGAGCTTTTTTGTTTATCTTTGGCAAGTGACCATTGTGTAAGTGCTATGATGCCCGACGGCATATTTTATCAGGAATTAATGGACTCTGTGTCGTCCATTAATTCTTGATAAAGTACGCCTCTTTGGGAATCATCCCTTACATAACACATGCATTATGCACTATGAGAGTAGCTTAACATTTTTCATAATGTATTATGATAAATAGGTATAATCATAATCCAAGTTTAAAAAAGGTTTCAAGGTTTTGGTTGTTATTGGTCATCACAATGCATTACGTGTGCTTGCAGAAACTGTATATGTGCATTATACATTGCATTATATTGCATTCATAATGCATTCAAATTATCTATAAGAAAGTTACATTTACCTTTCAGTTCAAGGTTAACAATTAATTTTAATCAAATCACTGTAATAGAAGTGTGTCAATCCTTTAAAAACGACAATGAATGTGATCCAACTTACATCTCACTGTGTCCTTTTACATTGTCTCTCTGTCTCTCCCTCATCACTCGTTCTTCTCCGTTTCTCTTGAAAAGCCTCACTACCTAATAATTGGGTAATGGCTCTTATGAGAGCACTGCCAGAGTGCTGCTGTGTGAGTCAAATATGAGGGAGGGGAGGAGGTACATGGCACTGCCAGAACCTCCTCCATGCTCTGTTGGCTTTATTTTATCTTGTGGTGAAGGTCATGATTTGAGAAAAGAAGAGCAGATTCAGATCTGTGCAAACGAGGTAAAATCTCACCCTGAGCCAACAGAGCAGGCCGGTCAATGGAGGACAGAGGCAGTGCGAGTTGTTTAGAACATGATTTAAACTTTTAACGACAAAATCTGGAGTCAGACCATGTTCAGTTTGACTGCTTCCGAGTTGATGCTGTTTGGTCCGTGTGTGAGAGATGTTGGATAATATATTTCTGGGGAGCAAGATGATGACATTTCTAGATGTAACGGGGTTAAATAAGTCAGTCAATCGATCTCTGTCTTTTTCCTAGAATTTTCATGTTCATGAAATTGGGGTTTCTGTTCCTTACCCTAATACTGTTCACTGTAACTTATAATCTGTAAGATACTATGAGTCACATCAGAAAACTGTAGTACTAGATCCTAGTACCTCGTAGTGCTGAAGCCTTATAGTTATAACGACAGTAAGAAGAGGACTAGATATTATTTTATTGAATCTAAAACCAGTAATAAATAACCTATCAAATCCAAATCCTTTCGAATCCCATTAAATGGAATTAGGTTTAGTTTTCAACCTGAAAATCAAATTTTGCAGCATAATATATATAATGTTAATAATACATATACAACATATTTGATCAATAGCTGTAGCCTACTGTGTTTAACAAGCTACTTGCTGCATCTTGATGTGCAACTATTTAATTGATAAGCTTAAAATATTAGGATACACATACATGTTTAACTAGGACTCAACTGAATAAGGAAAAGCTGCTACTCTTTTGGTCTTGTTGAACTGTCCACTCGTCCATTTGGGATCTTAAAGTTTTGTTACACAGTGATGATTCTGTTCACACAACAGTCTTTGGCAGTACTGACAGCTTGCAGACAGCACATTAACCAGATAACAGCTGGACTATAATGTACCAAAAACTATACCTTGTGCATGTAAGTTACATTACTTGTCCCTTCTGCTGATGCACGCTGCACAGTATTTCTGCAGTGAAGACAAGGCCAAGGTTTACTGGAGGACATACGTTTTTCCTCAGGCAGATGCACAAGAAAAAAAATAGCCTCTGCATTCTGATTTATCTCTCTATCAAAGGCTAATTTAGTCGTTTGGTTTTCTGAGCCAGAGAAAGCTGCTGACAGGGCAATCCCTGAGGGGACGGATAAGGTTTCTCCTCTTGATCCAGGCCCTGATCTGCCCCGATGCTCTCTCTGGGCTGAAGAACAAAATGCCGACTACTAAACACAAGCCCCAGGTCAGAGCTCTCATCCGCTCCCTGTGCAGTGTGTGGTGTCGAGCTGGGAATGTAAGCTGATTCCCTGGCCGATACACTAAGACATCTTCTGTGTCACAGGAGGGTGTATATTTGTGCTGCCAAAGGTGCTACAGTATATGTGGAGTTTATATGAAGAGTCTCATTTGTCAAACACCAAAAGAATATTTAGCACAGGAGGCTCTTACTTGGTGTCCTCCTGCTATGTTCTTAATCCTGGGGGAACCTGTTTGTCTGTAATCTGTGAAATGAAAGTCCCACTGGAAATTACTTACCTGAGGTCATCTGATGGCAGTCCTGTGTGAAGCTGCAGCTCCGTTATTCAGGGCACATTTTATTTGTGCAAGGACTTTTTTTCTTCTTAATCTTTCCATTAGAAGATAATGGAAGCAGTAGTGGAAATACACAATGCTCATTCAGGTAGAAGGAACATCAAATCAGTCCATCAATTTTCCATCCCATATCCAGTTCTGGGTCACAGCGGCAATAAGCTAAGCTATGTAACCCTGAGGTATTCTTCTGGGGGCATCCCAGGCCAGATGGGATACATAATTCCTCTAGCATGTTATGGCTCTGCCCCAAGTTTCCTCCTGTTGGACGTGCCCTGAATACCTCCACAAGGAAGCATCCAGGAGGAATTCTGATCAGTGGCTTGAATCAGTGCAAATGGCTCTTTTCAATGCGAAGACACAGCAGTTATACCGTTTCCTCAAGGTGCCTGAGCTCTTCACCTTAGCTTAAATCAATAATCAGAATCAGAATCAGAATCAGAAATACTTTATTAATCCCTGGGGGTAAATTTGTTGTATCTACAGTCACCACACTTATAACCAGAGTTGCTTCTCACGAGAGATTCACCTTCAGGCTGATACATAAATTTGACCTATGTAAATAAATGCTAAACGTTTCTTGAGCATATCAATTGAATCTAACAAGCTCAGACTTGGATCCTGATAACATTGACAAACATTTTGTATGTACCTGTATATCCATAGGATATAATTCCTGTGTTTATTAGCAATATATCCCCTTTTAAAGTGTTTGTTCGGTTGCTGCCTATTTATTTATTTTTATATCAATGCTTGTGCAGTGAGAACCTGCATAAAAACAGAGCTGGCATGCAGATGAGAGTGAGTACATGAATGAGCTGAAATATTCACATCCAGTTATTATACTCCAGCGGGATTTAAATAGGGACCCAAGAATAACCTAATATCTGAATGTGTGTTTTTCACCAAATATGACAGGAAGACATCTGACGGAGGAGGGTGAAACATCAGTCCGTAAACTTTAGTAAACAAGTAGAAACAAAGCACAATCCTTCACTTCCAAGTTTGTCTCCACAGATTTCACACAGGGACAAAATTTCCCTCTCTTAACTTCGAAGCAACCTAGTGAAGAAAAGGAGGACAGGGCTGGGGTGACAAAAAGACAGATAGCTTGGCTTCCCCCAAAAAGGGAGGAATCCAGCGGTTGTATCCTTTCAATGATCTGTAAATTCATGGTGGATGTGATTCAATATTCCCTTTTTCAGCCCAAAATAATGTATTTTGGTGCTGTATAGTGTAGATAAATGCGGCATCACTCCAATAAAACGTTCATCAGTACTGTTCCATCCCCCAAAACTACTGCTAGTTATTTACTTATTTTTGTCCTAGCTGAACTCCTAGCCCTCACTCAGTCTGGAGGCTTTGTTGTAAGGGTTCTCCAGGAGGTAGCGGTACCTGTCATAGTGCTCTAGCATGTATTTGGGGGCATACATGTGTTCTTTGGGGTCTACAGGGGGATATTTCTGCAGAGAGTCATCAAACCAGCCCCCGGTCCTGATCAGATTGCGGATGTAGTTGAGGTCATGCTTGTCCTCATAGTCGCCCCACCGCGGGAAGTCTCCGTTCTGCGCTGACACCAGCTTGAAGTAGATCCCCTCGGGCGTGAAGCACCAGGAGCAGTGCCACCCAGCGAAGTGAATGGGGCTGCCCACTGACCACTGCACCAGGACGCGGCCTGTCGCCTTCTCATACTTACGGAAACCCGGCATGGTGTAGTATTGGCGACGACGGAGCTTGATACCATCGCCATCATAGACATCGCGGAGCATCCCCAATGTGCAGGCTGACATCACCTCTAGAGAGCCAAACTGCTTCCAGAAAAATCCATACAGTGACTGGGTGTAGGGAGAAAAAAACAGAATTATAAACAGATATCATGAAATTTGTTGGATTTGTTTGTTTAAAAAAAACAGAATGAAGAAAGCTTTGTTCATTCATAGACCAATTTCATGCATGACACAATCATCCCGATCTTCCTGGTGAAAAACACATGACTGACCACACAAGCTGACATATTGCTGTTACCTTGCGCATGTGGATGGCCACAGGCTCTGTCCAGCCATCAAAAAGCTTAAGGAAAAGGAGGCCTTCATATGCCGGGATTTCATCTGCGTCATTGATGACGAAGACGTCGTCTGACCTTGCACCTACAACCCTGGACATCCCATTGCGTGTCAGGAAGGTACGCAAGTAGTCATCAGTGATCCAGCCATTCTGCCGACCACCTTCTGGGAAGTGGTCGAGGAACACGTACAGGATTTTGTGACGTATGTAGTCGTATGTACCATTGAGGAGGAGCCGCAGGAAACTGGGGAAATTGCAAATTCCATTTAGTGAATTCTTGAATCCAATAAAGAAACTGGCAACAAAGGTCTTTGACAAATAATGCCTTTCGGTAAGAAAACCCACTGTCCATACACTGGAGGAACAACTCAATTAACCTGTTGAAATGCATAGCAAAAGAATTTGTTTACTGAATGTAGCTGCTATTATGAGCTGCCTGTGACTTAAAATAAATTATTCAATATATCTTTTAGACTTCACTTGACATGACCAGGGTTTTATAAACTATATACATCCCATCATTGTGTCACACTGTTTAACCTCTTCAATCCAGTTTAAAGGTTGCTGAGCATGCATTCCATTTTACAAGGCTACACTGTCAGCCACAAAGACTCATCTACTGACGGCCACACTGCAGCTCAGTTGAGTTACACATTTTGCTTAAATACACTTTGGCATAATGGCCATAAGGGCGTGACTTGTATAATTTCCACACACACACCAGTCCAAAGAGTGGTCTCTTACGTCAGAGGGCGTGTCTCTCCATAGGCAGTAAAGTTGGATTCACAAACCAGGAACAGATCAACGGCTGGGGCGAGCTCACGAAAGCGTATTTGCAGCAGGTCAAACTCATGGTTTATGTTGATGGCATTGATGACCCTCCGTGGGGTCTTTCTGGGCGTCAGCCACTCCTTGGTAGGCAGTTTGGAGTGGTACACTGTGGTAGGAACCCCACAGTAAGGTCCGTGCCATCCTGGCTGGCACACACACTTGACTTCTGGAGCTGTGGAGGGCTGCTGCTGGACTGCCAGAGGTTTCTGTTGCCCAGCAGCCCCAGCTCCATTAGCCACAGAACCCCCGGATTTCCCAGAGTACTCATGTGGGGGAGCTACCTCTGTCCCCTGCCTGAAACAAAGGGCTCCAGCTTTGGTTCGGATAAAGTAAGGGGTTTTGTCATCTTCAAGCTGGTGAGTGCGGGTGTGGAGGTCCCCCATAGATTTTAAGGGATCTGGAAATTTGTCCTTGCGTAACACCACCTGGTGCTCTTTTCCCACCAATGGGACCTCTGGGAGGTCAGTCCCAGCAGGTTGGGCTGGGTGGCTCGGGTTCTGTGGCTTCAAGTGGTCTTCTGCTCTTTTCTGGAAAGAATTACAAAGAAAAGAGAAGTGTATTAAAGCAACTTCAATACTTCTAAAAAAGCGTGTTTCTTACTTCCAATGGTTCGTATAAGAGTTCTCATTTAAAAATGTTTATAAGATGCTGTTTTGTTTTGTTCAAGTTGCTTTGAAACTGTGAGACATGCTCTAGGAACCTTGAGAGAAATTTGAAAGCTGAAAGGCTGGAGACAGAACACATTTATTTTGTCTAGTTTATACCATTTTTTTCTATTCTGGCAACTGAAGGAGATTCAAGTTTGTGACTTGTCAGAAATGATGGTAGGTGCCAATGATATCCCATCCCAAGCACCCACAAACTCCTGTTCAAAACATGTTCAATATATTGTCCACAGATTTATTCAAATGCCAATAATCGACCAATAGCCAAATGGAGAATAATTTAAAGCAAGATGTGCAAGAAAAAAATGACATTTAAACATTATATTCAGGATAATACAAATTACATACCCACATTATGGCCCATGAAATTAGAAACTTTGGAAAATGATAGTTCCCATTTTTGTCACAAGTTGTACTGTAGTTCTATTTGCAAAGGATTTAGGCTATACTTATTATACCATGGCCTGAGCCAATGTTTGTCATTGTGATCAGGCTCCCTACTGTCTAAAAGTGTGTATCAATTACAACTCCAGGATGAAAGCATTTACTTATTTTTGTGACAATTATATGAGCAGATGAGTAACAGTAAGCAAGTTTAACATGATCACAAAGGACTCATGTGACATAAATCCTGGACACAACATTATCTGTTTATGGATATTATTATACTCAATACTTAACTTGTGCACAATGGAAAAAGAAACAAAAAAAAAGAGAGAAAACTGAGACAATTTATCTAACTTAGTCTATGAGAGTGTTATTCATAATTTAGAGGCTTTAGGAGTAGCAAATGGATTCTTCTGACCGGAATAAAATTTTCCTTGATATGCACAAATAGCAAAAGATGCAGTATAATGGAAAAGAACAGATTTCTCAGTTTCTGCTGATCCCCAGGGCATTTACACAGAATTTATATGGATCAGCAATGTCTTGCCCTTGAGCTTTCTGGAATCACATATTTTCCCTCCACTAAATCAAAGCATCTTGACATGAGCACGGGGCAACTTCAACCCACCAGCCACTTGAACTATGTGAAGATAAAAGCTCTCCACACTGCAAAAGCTATGACTTTTAACAGAGAGCTTGTTTGCAGGTTAAGATATCAGCTGATTAATCCTTAGGTTTTAGAATGACCTCCATGCAAGTCTACCAAAAGAATGTCACACTACTCATTTATTCATACTGCTAGGCTGCTATAAGCCTTTACTGTATATCATCATACAAATGAGACAAAGTCCTAAAGAGGGGGAAATTAAACAATATACCACATTAAAATCATACAGTATTAATCAACATGCTGACAATATTTTAGTAGTATTTATTGCAGGGTTGTTGTATTGCTGGTATTTTTTTGGTCACATAATGTACATAATTTACAAAGTTTACTAATCTCACCTCATTCACTGTGTCTCCCTGCTGATTTCCCTCTGGTTTAGCCCAAGGGTGAGTGGGTGCTGACTCCTCCCTCAATCTAATATCTAGCCCTCCGCTGCCAGCAGTTCCAGCACCTTCAACCACGACCCCCCCAATCCCCAGAGTCATCCCTCCTCCTCCTCCCACAGGACCCGCCACGGAGGTGGGGCTGTGCGGTATGGCAGCGACACCTCTCTCCCTCAAGAGGAAGCCAGAGGCAATGATGAAGGACTTAATGTTTGGGTAGGGGGAAGAGAGCTCACGCAGCAGGGAGACGTAGCGGAGGGCCTCGAAGTAGTTGAGGAGGGAGATGACGCCTACCATGCACAGCAAGATCACCCTGTGCTGCCACAATTTCCTCCTGAAAAGAGAGGAAGGGGGAAATGGAGAAACATTTCATTTCTAAACATATCTATCTATCATCTATTTTGGTATAATACTTTTATTCCTATCTGCACCTCAGTGGGCAAACCACAATGAACTTAAAAGTAATGGCCTTGGGATTGATAGAAAAAAAATGATACAAAAAAGCAGTCACCACCCCTTGACTTTGGGAAGAGCAAGAAGCTGCATTTAAGCTCGCTCGTAAGTGAGTGCAACAACATTCCAGTGTTTCCAACTCAGTTTGTTGTTTTCTACTGTAATTAGAAAGTTGTTAAAGAGGTTTAAAATTATTAGTTTAAGGGGGGGAAAAATTGGGACTATTAAGATTTCAATTGATTTTTAGAAGCAAGGGAACTTGAGGATCTAGGTTCTTTGTTTTTTTGTAAATAGATAATGAAGTTAGTTTGAATCGATGATTTGACATTGCCTAAATTTTCAGTTCCCCAAAGGACTAAAATGCTGATGTTTCAGACGGTAAAAACAATTACAAATTACTAGTTAGTGTGTCTGTCTGTCTGTCTCTGTCTCTCTCTCTCTCTGTCTCTCTCTCTCTCTCTCACCCCAACTGGTCGAGACAGACGACCACCCACCTAGAGCTGAAGGATCTGTCCTAGGTTTCTGCCTTTTAACAGGCAGTTTTTCCTTGCCCTTGTCGCCAAGTGCTTGCTCATGGTGGTACTGTTGGGTCTCTGTAAATAATGTTTTAAAGAGTTCGGTCTAGACCTACTCTATTTGAAAAGTGTCCTGAGATAACTTCTGTTATGAATTGGCGTTATACAAATAAAATTGAATTGAATTGAATTGAATTGAATAGTTGGAGAGAACAAAAAAAAACAAAATATTCTTATTCTTATATATGGGTGTGACTCATAAGCACACATCATTTTAAAATAAGACAATGATTATCTCTCAGTATCTCAGTCAATGTTTAGTTACAACTCTGGACTAATGCAAGATGGAAAGCATGGAATTGACATGGACTTTTGATTAAATATTGAATTTAAAATGTTGATTAGCTGGGTTTAGTGGTCAATATGGATGCACATCTCTCAAGAAAATGAGGTCTACATGTCAGGTAGGAGGTGCCCCTTAGCAGACCGGCTCTGCTTGTTCTGAGGGGTATTGATCTTCTCATGTAACTCTTGTCAAGAAAAGAATAACCGTATTTCTCAACATGTCAAACTTATTACTTCTTTAATGACAATATGACGTTGAGTTTTTCCTGCTTTAGGGTTCACTGTCAATTTCAACTCCTCTATAGAACGGACCGGAAAAGGTTCAACTTGCATTATGATAATGTTTTAGTTATATAACATTCAGATCGGAGCAGCTTTGGTGGATTTGAATAAACATGAGATGCTGAAGCTTACCACAGAGGAAAATCTCCCACACTCACCTTTAAATGCTATGCAGAGAGTGGGAGTAAATATGCAAAGCAGCAAGCAGGTACTGAAGAGTAGTGTGATTGAAAAGTAGGCCTGACTGTAAAACAACTTTTGTGCCTGCCTGAATTACTGTGATGTTAACTGTGTACAGCAGAGAAATTACGTAGAAAAACACTTCAGAAAGGTTGCATGGGAACTACTTTAATCAATAGTTTAAAGTAGTAAACAGTTTCACTGCTTTGAGTGTTGGTTGAGACATAACTAGAAAGTTTAGCATACATCACAATAACTAAAACATTTAAACATACAAATACATAAAGTAAAAAACCTTATTCATTTAACACTGACAACATTTTAAATATAAATATAGAGAAATCCCAGAAATGTGGGCGAGGGGGGGAGTATACCACAAAATTTGCTTACTTATTTAACCTATAATCAATCCACACATCCCATCACCAATCCATATACAAAAGCACTTACAACCAGTGTAACTGTAGGCATCCTGAGGCCGTTTTCTGCATATTCAGGGACTCCCAGGTATCTCTAAGCCAAGACATGACTGTAGAAATTATTTCAATGTGATCATGTCACCAGTCGTTGCCAGTGTAGTGCTGCAAACTTCCTCTCCCCTGCGATGCTGCCTGTTAGATAATGCACAAGATGAAGTTTTAAAGGTCACACAGACAGGTAACTCCCCCCACTAGAAACAAGTTATTCCAGTGCAGGCACCTGTTCCTATGTTGGGGAAAGGAATATTCTCCACACCCCTTGCTCTTTTGTAAATAGTTTAACCTGACATGACTGGTTTAGGACACCTGTGAACTTCACATTGGTAACTGCAGAGGATGGGGCTTGTTTGTTTAGGATTATGTTTGCTACATGCAAAAGTCAACTTAATGTATGGATGCACCTTAAAAGCACAATCCTGGTTTGGCATCTTACCAGCCTGTATCCAGGCCTCATGAAATGCAACCAGACCCCAGGGAGAGGCCTACAGTCTAATCACTAGCCTGTTACGTGTTTTACTCTGCACAAACCTGTTTATAATTAAAAAGCAGAAAAACTTGACTTTCTGCCTCTGGTTGCATTCCTCCTCGAACCAGTCCAGTTGCTGTTTACATCCGAGTCTGCCCAGACTAACAATGTATGTAATAATACAACCTATGTTGTGAAGACTTGGAAGGGATTTAATAAAATAATTAAAGTTTATTGTTTTGGCTGAATGGAAGTTATTATATATGATATGATATGTGTATGATTTCAGTGAATATACATTTTTAATTGATTAATGAAGGATTGATTATTATATATGTATTGGCTAAAAAGGTACACATGTACTTGCTATGCTAGCTATACTAAATCTGGCACTTTTTTACAGATGCTCCAATATATGTTAGCAGTCATATGATTCTGATGATGAGAATGAGGCAGCAATTAAAAGGCAGAAGGGATGAGATGGAAAGATGAAAGCCTGTGCTTTGCTAGTTATTTACTGGTTGTGTTGTCCCAGTCAACGTGTGTGTGTGTGTGTGTGTGTGTGTGTGTGAAACCTGGAATCACCCAATTCCTCAAATGATGGCAAAATAACAATTTTGAGGTCACAATGACCTTTGACCGGAGTCGAAACAGGAAACAGATGTAAAATATATGTAATGTTTGTTACTACTTACCATTTAAATGGTGATACAGCACATTTTTTGGTAATGCTATTTGGTCCTATATAGTAAATACTGTATCTGATATGTAAGTAAACAAGTGAAGATTTAAGATACACAACAAACATAGTCAGTCACAGATAAGCACACATAAACATCATCAGAAAGGGTTCCTGGTTAGCTCAGTGGGTAGAGCTGGCAACCCATGTACCGAGTACAATTAAAAAATTAAAAAATTCATCCTATGAGATGGGATAATCAAGTTTTATCATTCCATTCGTATAGTGCAAGGTCGTCAAAAACAATCAACCCACATGCGGTATTGACAGTAGGCCTGTCCTGGAGTCTTGTCTCATGAATAGTAGTTTTAAATTTTAGAAGAGATGTGATATATTGAGGCCGCTTTAGCAGGAGACATTTATAAACAAAATTGAGAGTGTATAGTTCATATAGTACACGGTGATGAGATCAATGTTTCTCATCAAGATCATAGCATTCAAACTGGAAGCTTGGCACCTCAAGCAACATGATACTGAGAACTCCCCATAACCCCTTGTGTAAAAAGAAAAGTTTTAAGGTACAGTGATATTAGAACTTACATTTTTTTGATCATGGTTGATCATACTTGATTGTTATTATCAGACATCACAATGCATTATGAAGACTTAAAGAAACTTATATTGTGCATTAAACATGTTTTATACTGCATGCATAATGCAGGATCTATAATACATTATACATACTGGCAAATATTTGCATTTCTGAGTAATCAAAAAAGTTTAAAAAAAACATTTAAGCTTCATTTCAAGGTTAACAATTAATTTTAATTTTAAAAAAAAGTGTTTCAATCCTTGAATAATAAATAAATAACAATGAATAATGTAATCCAACTGCCGTCTCACTGTGTCCTTTCACACTTTCTATCAGTGTCTCTCTGTCTCTCCCTCATCACTTGTTCTTCTCCATTTCTCTTGAAAAAGCCTCACTACCTAATAATTGGGTAATGGCTCTTATGAGAGCACTGCCAGAGTGCTGCTGTGTGAGTCAAATATGAGGGAGGGGAGGAGGTACATGGCACTGCCAAACAATCCTCCATGCTCTGTTGGCTTTATTTTATCTTGCGGTGAAGGTCACAATTTGAGAAAAGAAGAGCAGATTCAGATCTGTGCAAACGAGGTAAAATCTCACCCTGAGCCAACAGAGCAGGCCGGTCAATGGAGGACAGAGGCAGTGCGAGTTGTTTAGAACATGATTTAAACTTTTAACGACAAAAATTTGGAGTCAGACCATGTTCAGTTTGACTGCTTCAGAGATGATGCTGTTTGGTCCGTGTGTGAGATGTTAGATAATGTATTTCTGGGGAGCAAGATGATGACATTTCTAGATGTGACAGGGTTAAATAAGTTGCTGAAGCCTTATAGTTATAACTACAGTAAGAAGAAAATAGCAATTTATCGAATCTGAATCCAGTATTGAATAATCTATTTGAATCCCATCAAATCGAATTAAGTTCGAGTTATTATGTCCACGTTATAAATAACAACATCTCAAAGATCTCTGCTTTGCTTGGCTGAAAAGGCAATATTACTGTAGATTTTAGTGGTAGCCTAATAATATGTGAAATGTTAATCGAACATAACTCACATATTTAATTAACAGCTGTTGCCTACTGTATTTCACAAGTCACTTGCTGCATCTTGAAATGTAGCTATTAAGGTGATAGGCTTAAAATCAGTTTGAAAAGATTATTTTACTTACATAATGGTAGCAAAGTAATAATCTGTCAGAAGGCCTATTGCTCTTGTTCATGATGAACACAATGTGTGGACTGACACCTAGATGACTTTTCACTAGCAGGTGTCACAAATATACTCACCTCAAACCTAGCCCCCTTCTTTCTCAATCCCACACTTGTCATTCATCTTGATCAGCTGTCTCTTTAGAAATTGTAACTAACCTGAAGGTAACTGGTATGTGAAAGGCAACAGGCTCTGAAGAAGCAGAGGGAGAATCTGATGTAAAAGTATAGCAACACTGACATCAGTTCTGTGACCAAACTCAAACCCGTACCAATAAATAGATTTGATGCTCATTTCTTCTGCATAAATTGCTCCTAGGCACTTCATCGTGTTTCAACCACTGCCTCTTCCTGCATTAGTGGCTAGATGCAAGTGAATTCAGCATGTTTGTCCACTTTATATGGGTTCAGTTTGTGGTGTATTCCAGGCTTTGCAAGGGGGTTAGTAAGAGGCATTTAAGTCTGTGTCACAATCACAGGGGCAAAACCAGAACACTACAGTAAAAACAAAAGGTTAAACGTCTGTATGGAAGCAACATATTTTACAAATTTTTTGTAGTTTCAGGCATAAATGTACTTGTAACTACATTAAATGCAGTTGTAAAAAGATGGGTTTTGATCAGTGATTTAAAGTTGAATGGATCAAAATCCAGCCATGGGCTCTAATCTAACCTAAAACCATACACAACCTGTTGAAGCGGCTATTATATGCAAAAATGTTTCACCCCGTTTCTAACAACACTCTATGTCCAAGTAAACAGCGGGATGTTGAGACGTCACTGAACATAAAACATGTGGCTGTGGCTCAGAGGCAGAGCAGGTCGTTCCTTAATCTCAAGGTTGTGGGTTCCATCCCCGGCTCCTGGTGCCACATGTTGAAGTATCCTTGAGCAAGATACTGAACACCAAATTGCTCCCGATGCCGTGCATCGGTGTGTGAATGTGTATGAATGTTAGTTTCTGTTCGATGGACTTTGCCATCACTGTGTGAATGTGTGTGAACGGGTGAATGTGGCACGTAGTGTAAAAGCGCTTTAAATGGTTGGAAGACTAGAAAGCTATACAAGTACAGGTCCATTCTATCTGCTATCTGTTTGTTTCTCCAGAACTCAGGAATGTGTAAGATGATCAAAGCGGGCCTACTTAATGTAATGTCACCAGCGAATTAAAGAAGTGAAAGCCTGCAGTTTAAAACGGCCATTGACAACAAAATAGTTGACACCTAAATTAAGTAAAAACAGACAGCTGTGTGATAGAGGATGAGTCATAACAGCAAGGAAGTGATACCTAGACTACTTGAACAAAGACAGTGCACCTTGACACCAGGCGCAGTGCCGATGTCTCATTTCAGACGGGGCAAGCACCTGCAGCGGGCCCTTAAAAGCGATCTGCTGATATTTTAGAATTTCAACTTCTGATAGGCTTTTTCAGAACCATGATCAGATAAAAGATAAAAAGGTAACATTGACCAAACTAGTGGCGTTCAGCATCTGACATTCAGTGACGCTGGATGCCCATACAGCCACACAACCATATAGCCTACACAATAAAGTCACATAATCAACCCAAACGACAACAAATTGGGCTACAAGTCTGCAAGCAATGTGTGGACAACAAACAACAATATTTTTGGCCAGAAAGTCAAAAATGCCAGATACCCAGCACTACGACAGTATGTCATCACTAATAATGAAACAACTTACTGATGATGTTTTCATCCAACAGCTGTCGGTTGAAATCCAATCCAGCAACAATGACATGAGTCCGCTGTAGTCTGTATGAAATGTCCAAACACACCAACATGTTACAACGAGACAAACCCAACACATTCCTCCATCGTCATCATCATCATCATCATCATCATCATCATCATCATCATCATCATCATCATGATTGCTTTCAGCCACCTGCACTGAGCGAGCTGCTGCTCACTAACACTGCTTACTAACATTTTCACCTGCTTTGCTGGTGGATCTAACAGCAAGACATTGGAGGGTTGAGTTGTTGGTGAGAGAAAAAGTTTGTGAGTTGAACACATGAGGCCACAAGGTTCTTCCTCTGCTCTTTGGACTTCTTTTTACGCTTTTATTGTATTGAAAAACAGTGAGGTAAACAGAAATACAGCAGACAGGGTGCAAGACTTTAAAACTGCCTGTGCTGAGCCTGTTCGCATCCTAGGGGCCCTATT